ATCCATCCATCCATCCATCCATCCATCCATCCATCCATCCATCCATCCATCCATCCATCCATCCATCCATCCATCCATCCATCCATCCATCCATCCATCCATCCATCCATCCATCCATCCATCCATCCATCCATCCATCCATCCATCCATCCATCCATCCATCCATCCATCCATCCATCCATCCATCCATCCATCCATCCATCCATCCATCCATCCATCCATCCATCTATCTATCTATCTATCTATCACTTCATTATCTGCTCGTTCGCTCACTCTCTCTTTTTTAACCATCTATCTTTCACTCTATAAATTCTTCTTTCTTTCTTTCTTTCTGTATGTATGTATAGTATCGTTATATCTATAAATAATGGCTGCAATGATTGAACGATAAAAGCTAATCAAATGCCTGAAATTAATTACTCAATTTATCTGGCTGAACTTTCAGCAAGGAGCTTTCAATTTTCCACAAATTTTAATGAAATTTTTTTAAAAACTGGTATAAAAACCAATTCGCATTTTCCAAACCAAAAAACTTAGTAAAAAAAATTTAATCTCAATAGCACACTGCACCAACGAAAAAAATTAACCTAAAAAAAACACCTCTCCGATCAAAAAAACACTTCGACTTTCATATCTACGCCACTATCAGGCACAGAAATGTTAATTGTACTTGTCTTAACAGTAGAACACTCACAAACACACACACAAATAAACACACAAACACACACACACAAATACATACACAAACACACACGCGCACGCATACAGACAGACAGACACACACACACACGTTTGTATGGTACATAAATAATAGTCGTGTATCAATACACAAACGAAGGTTTACACATATCCGCGCATACACACACTACACACACATACATACACACACATACATACATACACACATACACGCATACACACACATATACACGCATACACACACTACACACACATACATACACACATACACGCATACACACACATATACACGCATACACGCATACACACACTACACACACATACATACACACATACACGCATACACACACATACACGCATACACACACACATATACACGCACACACACACATGCGTACGTACAGTTTTATAAATGACAAGCGTTGGAATGAGAACGAGCATTTGAAATAATGCGACCTGTCAGGTTCGGTGTGTACGCACTATCCATGCGGTTAGCACCTCGTGGAATTTTTTATAAAATTTTTTTTTCACCTATAATTTATTAATTATAAAATAATTAATAAAAATAATAATAATGATGAAGTTTAATAATATGTAATTATAGTAATAAGATCATTAATATTGCTAACAGTAAAGGTAAGAATTAACAACACAAGGAGAAAGATTGACGTATAAACGTTAAGAAATACAAGCAACAACAATGTGAACAACAACATAAACAACATCACCCGCAACAACAACATACATAATGGTACAAATAACACCACCAACAACAACAACAGCAACATACACAAACAAACAACTCAAAGAACGCCAACACAAACAAACAACACAAACAAACAAACAACATACACACATACACACCTTACATACACAACTCTATAAACAGCCTGCCATAACTAACAAAAACAACCGAAACGACTGAATACACGCCAAAAAAACATACACGCGAATAGCCTCTCAACCATAAGATGATATAAACGACGGGATATTTTGTTATACAGGACGTATAGTAGAGTAACAAACTCCCTGATATAACACAACACACTACGCCTATTGTTGTAACAGCTTCATGCGGTCAAATTGCGCTATATCATTTGTTATCTTGATTATTCGTTATCTTTGTTATCTTTGCTGAATTTGTAATCTTTTGATTTAAAAAAAATCTACTGTAGAATCTATGTAACACGACTCTCACGCACGCAAGCACACTTCTACATAATAAGCAAGCAGGTCTATGATTGCATCTTATTAAAAGTTGTTATTATAGAACAATGATATCTAACGCAGAGACAAACACATTAATTACAGTTATAGCATTTTTTTCCTGATCATTGACAACAACAACAGTAACAACAACAACAGCAACAACAACAACAACAACAACAACAGTAACAACAACAACAAAAACAATAATAATATAAATAATAATAGAAATAATAATAATAACTTAAAATCAGAATTGTCATAAGAATTGATGGTCTTCACGCAAGACAACACTGAAACTAAAAACGGGAATAACAACGAAAGATACATCACCTTCTTAACAACAACTACAACAACTACTACAACTACAACTAACTTCACTACTACCACAATTTCGCTACAACTACAGCAATGTTACAATAGCCACAAAAACATTTTTAACAACACTACCGTCTACAACAATTAACCTCCTACAATCAAAATAGCAACAACAACAACTACTACTACTACAAGTACTCCTATTACTACTACAACAACTACTGCTACTGCAACGAAGTTACAACTTCAAAAATATTTCTAACACCAGTCACAACAATCCTTAAAATACAACAACAACGCAACAATTCTATTACAACCCTCCTAACAACAACAACAACAACTCTACTACAACAACAATAATAACAACGAAAAAAACAACAACACCACCAACAACAACAAAGAATGGACATGATTTCTCTAATCAAACAGAGTTTCGGGGCAGACAATTCAAACCCTATCTGCAAATTATTTCGAATCAACCGCCAGGTGGCCAGTGGCGGACACCTCCTCATGTGGAGGATCCACGATGCCATCAGGATCAAGGACAAACTGGTTAGTCAGGATACTTTTTTAGATACTATATCTTGATATCATGATATTGTGATAGATAGAGATGCGCCGATTAATCCGTTTAATATCATAAATCTAACATTCGGCCTAAGCCAAAAATGTTGAAGAAATGTTTTAGTATGAAAAACCAGCCATTGAAGAAAAACAGGGTGCAATTAACCTCTATCCAACAAATTTCTATCATGAAAACATTCAATCTCGTGTTCAGATGGTTTAAAATATACCGTGGCTAAATTAAATTTAACGCTGGTAACATTGAACAAATTCTGGTAGCTAAAACTGGAAATGGGTCTCAAATACATACGTACGAGCATACATACGTGTACGTACGAACAAACAAACAAACTTACAAACAAACATACAAACAAACAAACACAAGTACATACGCCAACGTACAATTTGGCAACAACTACACCTCAGAATGTGAACAACAATTTAAATTTACTTCTGCCATTAACTTTCTGCTGTTTTGTCACCACAGAAAATTATTCTTGCTATTATTATTATTTATTATTATTATTAGTACTATTTATATTATTATTATTATTATTATTATCATTATTATTATTATTATGATTTATTTTTCCACAATTTTTTTTCTACATCCAATTGTTAAGCGCTAAAAACCTTTGAATGACGACACATGACGTGTGAAAAGTCTATGGTGACGATAATGATGATGACAACGACGACGACGAAGATGATGATGTTGTTGTTGTTTATGATAATGATGAGGAAAATGAGGATGATGACGATATGATGTTGTTGTTGTTGATGATGATGATGAAAATGATGATGACTATGATGAAAATGATGATAATAATGATGAAAATGATGATAATGATGATGGAAATGATGATGATGATGATGATCTAAGTGGACTCGAAAAAAAAAGCTTTTTTTTTTGCCCACTGTATAATGAATCGACTGAAGAAAAGGACAGATGTAAAACATGCTATGACCGAGTCTATACGCTGACGATAATGATGATGATGATGACGATGACGGTGATGGTGATGATAATGATGATGATTACTTGATGATGATGATGTTGGTGATGGTGGTGACATCTTTGGAGATCGTATTAAAGATGTTGATGACCATTTCTTGAACATTGCGTCTGATGACGATGATGATTCGATCACGACCATGACGAAGCTGCTGCTGCTGCAGCTGCTGTTGTAGCTGTTGCTGCTGCTGTTGCAGCTGCTGTGACTGCTGCTCCTGACGATGCTGCTGATGATGATAATGAAGATAATGTTGACATTTAGAATGATAACAGAAGTATTAATGATGATATCGACAAATATGACAATTGCGACTTGCCAGCCAATAAAAATGCAAATTGCCCGACAAACTTATACATACCAAGATATCAGGGTATATTGATATTGTACATACATATATATGTACATACATACATACATACATACATACATACATACATACATACATACATACATACATACATACATTCATACATACATACATACATACATACATACATACATACATACATATATACATACATACATACAAACATACATACATACATACATACATTCATACATTCATACATACATAGATACAGGTAAAAAACTCAAACACGCTTGGTTTAGTTTTTGGCGAATCATTTTTCATCTTTCATTAATGGTTAATTAAAGTTTTTTGTTGTAAAATTACGTTATTTAGTTTTATAATCTTATTCATTAGAAGTTGGTAATTTAGTTTATGTTTATTAATTATTAGAAATTTTTTTTTGTTTATATTAATCTTCTTAATATTTTGTTGTATTAGGTAAATTTTTCAGTTCAAACTTTTATTTCGGTGGCCCAACAAGTGGAAACTTCGGGTGTCCTAGTGATGTATTTCTTTAAAATACTTTACTGAATAAAAGTTTATTTGAATTGAATTGAATACATAACGACATAGTAATAGTAATTGTAGCAGCAGTAGTAGTAGTAGCAGCAGCAGCAGCAGTTGTATCAACTTAATAAACGCATAAATGTATATGAAAAATTTGATACGTTCAATTAGTTGATACGTTCGTTCATTACATTATGTAAACATATCAGAACAAAACATCTATGTATTATCGATGACATTATTATTATTATTTTTATTATTAATATTATTAATATTTATCTTCTTATTATTTATATTATTGTTATTAATGCTGGACAACGTTACATCAAATGTTTCCCTGAAAGCAAAACCCTCGGAGCGTCTTGTTCTATGCTAATTACGTCTGTACTAAAATTATTACCTGACAGATTTTTTGGTAATCTACAATTAGTAGTAGTAGTTTTGCTGTTGTAGTAACGATAGTAGTAGTAGCAGCAGCAGCAGTAATAGTAGTAGTAATAGCAGTAGGAGCAGCAGCAGTAGTAGTAGCAGTAGTAAATGTAGTAGTTGTAGTAGTTGAAGTAGTAGTAGCCGTAGTGCTAATAGTAGCTGTATTAGTAAGAATAATAAGTCAGCATCAGTGTAGTGGTAGCAGTAGCAGCAGCAGCAGTAGTAGTAGTAGTTGCAAAATTAGTGGTAGTAATAATGCCGGTTTCGCGGTTCTCATCTATCAACTTTAATCTTTTTTGCCGAAAAACATTTTCTTAAGAAGCATTTTCTTGAAAGATAAATTGTTTGATTGAAAAGTTAATAGATTGGTTGATTGACTGAGAAGATAATTGATTGATTGATTAATTAATTGATTGATTGTCTTGCTGAGAAGTTAATTGTCGAGATGTTCAATAATTTGTGTGAGTGATTAATTAATTAGTTGACTTGCTGGCTAATTAAGATGTGATTTAATTGATTTATTAAGATATGATAAGATAATTATTAAGTAATTAAACTATTATTTGAATAACAAACAATCAAATGAATAAATGAATGAATGAACGAATGAACGAACAGATGAATGAACGAATGAATGAAAAAAAATTGAAAAATAATTGGTCAAACAGGTGAGATGAGCTTGGCCATTGAAAATAAATGAACTTGAATTAAATGAAAAAATTTTTTCAGATAAAAATGAAAAAAAAAACATTTGTATAGAGATAAATGGATGGAACGATGAAAAATTCATCGAAACAGAATGAATGAATGCACGAACAAACTAATTAACAAACATGTAAGTATTCAAGCGAATAAATAACGATTGAATGAACGAATTCATACATTCATGAATGAATGAATGAACGAAAGAACGAATGAATGAACAAACGAACGAATGAATAAATAAATAAGCAAATGAATGAATAAATTGATGGATGGACAAACGTGATACCTGTGGTTGGATGGATGAACGTAAATTGATCTCTCCTCAATTGACGAGAGGGGTAGAGAGAATGTTTTGTTAATTTTCATTCAGAGGTATCCATCATTCTTAATTACATGACGTCATTTTCATTATCACAGTCGTCGTCGTCGTCATCATCCTCATTATCGCCACTATCATCATCATCATCATCATCGTCATCATCGTCATCATCGTCATCATCATCGTCGTAATCATAGATGTTTTTACCTGATGTTTATCTTTAATTCTCGTTACTTTTATCGTCATCATCGTCGTCGTCATCATCACCCACGACGTAATCATCATCAGCAGTGCACAGTTTTTGTTTACGACAAAAAGTTACCCGACCGCTATTCTTTGGCCACTTCCGGAACTTCTACCTTCAGTCGCGCCAAGCAGCGAGAAGTCGTCTGCGAGTCGCTAAAGAAAGGACTGGAAATCATGATGTCGTTCACTCATCCAAAGGTCCTCAAGGTCATTCACCCTGTAGAAGAATGCAGGTGATTGGCTGGAAAGCTGGTCGATTGAATGAATGAATGATTGATTGATTGATTACTAATGGAATGATCGGCCAGAACATGACTGATCAGTAAAATAAATCAGTAAAATAAACAAACACATATTCACGCACGCACGCACACACCCACACACCTACATTCCACAACAGCACACACACACACACACGTACACACATACAGTGACAGCATAGCATTCGCAACAGAACCCATCCTTGCCAGCTTATCCAATCTTCTGGGAGCACATGAAAGAATTAGTAATCCCATACCGGCCATACTGAAGGTTTTTGCCTAACTTTTCAAATAAAATTTTTTCATTACTAAACTTAAAAACTTGGCTTAATTAATATATTACTTCCTATAACATTCATATACTAATTTACTTTAAATATATTCATCTATTAATTTATTTATATATATGCATAAATGTTTTTTGTAAATAATTAACTTAGGTTAACTTAGGTTATGAATGCACACATATGTAAATTTTCACGCACACGAACACACATCACACAGATATAGCAGTACATAGAGTCCACGTTTGCACACAAACATACATACACGCATACGCATACACACAGTTCAAAACACAAACGCACACACAGTTAAACATACACACATGCATAAACATAAAGCAAAAAGTGTTGGGTTTATAATTGATGTGTCCACACCAAATGCTTGTATACTGGGTTCTGCCTTTCTAAAAAATAACTTTTTTATTGTAATGTACTGCTGCTGTTTTTGTTACTACTGCTACTACTGCTACTACTTGGCCACCACCAACATCATCATCGTCGTCATCATCGTCGTCATCATCATCGTCATCTTCGTCATCAAAGTTATCATCACAATCAGCACCGCCCCACCTATCTTCTTCACTCTCGATTTTATTTCAGTAATTGTAAACATGCCTGCTCGCTGAAATTGAATTATTCATGGATGGGAGAATGAATGAGAAGCGACTAAAAGTGCCACGCACTGTCCTTGCTTTGAACGCGAAAAATATAAATATAGGTAAACAAAAAAATAAATGAATGAATGAATGAATGAACGAACGAATGAATGAACGAACGAACGAATGAATAAAAGATGTACTTAAACAAAATAAAAGAGTAGAATATAGAGAAGAAAGAAGTTGATAATAAGGTTGTAACAAAAACGTACAAAAACCCACGTATTCTACGTTTATCAACATTGCATTGAATGTTAGAACATGCGTGTGCGTGTGCGTGAGTATGTGTGCGTGCGTACATAGGTATATGCGTGTGATTTGTCTGTGTGTACCTGCGTCTGTCTATTCCATCCATTGGTGTTTGTATATTTAAAGACAATAAACACAATGGCTCAGCTAGTAAAAGTGCAGTGACACGTTCCACTAAGATGATAGATTGTTGCACTGTGACCGGCATCGAATGCACGCGAAACCCGAATATCGTATTGGCGTAAGTAATAAATAAACTCGCGTGTCTCTATATGCAAGACTTGGCCGATGGCGATAGCGAAAGTGTCATGACACTTGCGCCGCTGTCGTAATAAATATTTGCAGAGTGACCGAGTTCAAATGCATAGTGAATCCAGATTAACATGTGAAAATTATTTTTGATTTTAAATACGTGTTTCGCATATACACGCTCTATGATGCTTATAGCATAGATGTGATAATATACTGCCAATGCACATGAAACGCTATACGAATTTCAATTTTAATTTAGATGAGTGTCTGAGTGGTGCGTGTGTGTGTGTTTGTGCGTGTGTGTCTGTGTGCGTGTGTGTCTGTGTGAGTGTGTGTAAGTGATTGCCTATTTGAAAAAGCCTCTTTAAAAATACGAAATATATATATATATATTGCATCTCTGGATTTGTTAATGTGTTTTTACTAACAAATCAAGCTTTACGGGGTTGAAAAGAAAGGTATGTGTGTGGTTTGTGTAAGCAGGCTCTTATGGTGTGGTTTTGTGTGTAGGTATGTATGTGCGTGCGTGTGTGTAGACATCATCATCATTATTACAATTATCATCATCGTCGTCGTCATCACATCTGATTGAGAAGCATTGAGTATCGCATGGCGGTGATTTAAAGAAATGACATGAAAACTGTGGCTATGAAATTGACGATGTTGGGCGGTGATGATGATGATGGTGATGATAATAGTTAAATGATGATGATGATGATGATGACGATGATGATGATGATGATGATGATGATGACGATGATTGTAATAGGGTGAGATAAATAGTGTATTGGAAAACTGCCACGAGAAAAAGTGTGGCTCTAATTAATAAGTTGTAAAATAATAATATAAAAAAAATATAATTGTTATTTTTTATAATTATATATTATTATCATTATTATAGTTTATTATTATTGTTTTTATTATTATTATTATTGCTGTTATTTATATTTCTATTGAATTTGTCCCACAGGATTACAAATTTT